AGTACCGTGAACGTGGAGCGTCAGGTAGCTCAGTGGTTTAGAGCAGTCGCCTGGCAAGCGAAAGAGTCCGGGTTCGAGTTCCGACCTAGCAAACCGCGCTTTTGATATTTTTCTCTTTTTAGAACGAAAAGATATGTAGGTCCCGAACGCACGGTGTCTCGTCGCTACCTAGTACACTCTCCTCCTGCTATGGTCCCTTATTTTTTATTACGTATTCTTATAGTCGTCCTTGAGACTCTTTCAAAGTGCTATAATTATATTCACACCATGTCAGTTCTTTCGATGTTATCGAGGTTTTTATAGTAAGATATCCAGCCAATGAAGTTAAGATTCGTATTGCATATGCCTATGTGCAATTAAGCGCGCTTTATTATTATAAATCATTATAATAATAAAAATAATATATGTCCTGTATATTCATTAATATACTATCAAAAATATATTGAATAAATATCGGCAATAAAAAATAAGGGGTCCCAATTAAAAAAATCAAGGTAATCTTCGCCTAATCTTGGCGACGTAACCGAAAGTTAAACTGATAAAGAGAGTAAGTAGATATTTTTAATAGAGTAAAGCCCGATTGGACACAAAATATAATGATTGGTTAAATCTAGTTGGATTTAGTAATTCACTAAATAAAGTAGAGCACTGGCTGGTGGTGTGCAATCGGGTCCGTGCACAATCAGGACATTCCTACTTTTAAGCTCTACAATTTTTGTCTCAAACATTTTTTTTCTACAATTATATTTCTCAAGATATTTCGCCGAGTTTTTTTGCATACCCTGTACATATGTTGAATACATCCAGATAGTTGATTCGAGATTCTGCAATTCAAAATAACAAGAAAAAAAACGCAAGAAAATGTAAGAATAAACGTAAAAAATTACGTCCGGGAGTTTTTACGATTTTACGTTTTACCCATTTTTCTTAATTTACTACATTCTTCCCGCTAATGCCTTAATTTTCATAGTCATTTTCAAATTTTACGACTCAAAATACATAAGAATATGTAACATTTTCTCGTTTGAATAATGATTCCCAAACCCCCAATTTTGTATAACCTCTTTTATATAAAAATGAATAAAAGTTATTTTAACTTTAAATGACTCATAATTTGAACAGTTACCTTATCTTTAAAAGAAGTGCTCTTGTAAAATGATTTTGTACCTCCAAACAGATTGTTAAACTACAATCAAATGTTTATGGCTTAAGTACATATGAATTTGATACAAATCATAACTCAAGTGAAAGGACCTCGCACAAAACCTATGGAAAATGGTTTTCGGTCAAATTGGCTGAAATTTCACTATGTTATAGTTTTCGCCATGCTGATAAAAAGTTATCATTGCACCAAGTCCCAAAAGTCAATATTTCCCAAGATATAAAAGGTCAAAGTAGTGAAATATGATCATCCGCAGTAGTAAGATGTATGTTATAAA